TCGATCTCATGTCGAGTGTCTTTGTCCTTGGGCAGCTCGCATGGCACGTATTCGGGGGAAACATCCCTAAATTTCACCAAATCATAATGCAAAGAATATTTCTTCAAATACTTTCAAGATTGAGACGTGTACCGCTCAATCCGGGTCTTCTCATCGAGGACACTCTCGTCCATCGATGTCAGCAAAAACTAGTGCCGACTGAATATTAACGACGTACTCTTCCTCTGTGACGAGTACGCAGATATGCTTGATCTTGTCACTACGCAGGTATCGCAAGAATCTTTTGGATTCTAGCGTTGGCAACTTGACCACCTCCGAAGCTGACTTCGGAGGTGTAACCAGATCAAGCGTATAAGCGCCTACACTTGATCCTTCATTCATCAAGACATTCACTGTCTCGGTGATTTCTTGGGAAAACACGTCCGCAGGCATTGGGGATCCACACCCTCAACATAGCTCTCTCGGGAGAAATTGCTCTCAGGAACGCTGGAACTTTCTTCCAATAAGTGTACTGACTGTGAGTGTACTACCACAGTCACGTCCTCTTCTATCGACTCTCTTTCAGTCGAGCGGGCTTGTTCTACGATCGACTCTCTGATAGTCGATCTCGCTTCAAGTGTTGTTCATCCTGAACAACACTGATCTCTTTTTGGATGCACCCTTCGCTGTGTGCATCCGTGTTCCAGTCCACTCGATCTGTTCGAGTGGTGAACCTTCGGCTCAGCCTTTGTCTCTACACAGATGTCGGAAGCTGGTCCCACAGTGTAGTTGCCTTCTACACTGTGATCTTGTGCAGTCGTACTAACGACCGTACCACAAGTGAGGCCATCACAATTACTCGTAGTACATCCACACGCTTGTGGAAGCTCCAAGACGTTCATCAGATGGCCATCTGATGAACAAACGGCGTATCTTCACGGATCTATGCTACCAGCTGATCCATGGCTGGTATTTTCTAAGTCATGGCAGACAGAGGATGACATCAAATTTGTTATCAAAATCTAGTGCGATGAAGTCATCATCGTACTGCTACCTTCTAGTGTTTAGTGGATACCCACTACACGTTTGTTCACTGTTACGGATGCGCCTGTAGCAAGGCACACCGTCATCCTCGTTGGAGGGAACTTTCGCTCAACATAGTTGAGCCTACTATCCCCTAGCGACTGGCGTCGAATAAAACTGTTTGGCTCCACACAGTCAACAAGGGCGCGAAGTGACATTCCACTTGTCACTTCGATCTTCAAAGTGATGAGAGACTCCTCGTCACTAAGGGCAGTAACACAGAGGCTGTGTGCTGGGAGCAATTTTCGTCAATAGTCCTGCAAATTCTCTTGACGTTGATGGATCAGCAGGGTGCTCCGCTCTTACTGACCCTGACCAATTTTGACGGTCCGACTTGCTGTCACGGCTTAGCAACATGGTCGGACCCACGCCTTGGACCTTTTCTTGGCCAACGGCGGTCATCATGTCCTGTCTTTGGACGCGTTGCAGTGCTCGGGACACTGCATTCATGAGCGTAGTGTCCAATCTTCTGACAGCGGTGGCATCTTGCCGTTCGCTTGTGACTCAGAGAGCGAGAGTTCTCGATCTAGATGTAACAGAGGTCCATTTGGTTCGGGATCTCCTGTTTCCTGTCGTCTTGTCGGACGATAGCTGGACGAGTTAGCCTGAGACTGTCTCAGGCTGAAGTCTTCTTGTTTCGCATACGCTATCGCCTTTTCTAGCGTATGGAAGTCCTCTCGGAACACGTAGGTCTTCACCGGTCCATCCACAAGGCCGTAGATGAACACGTTGATCAGCGTGTGCTCATCAACAGGGTCTCCGTAACGCTACTTGCAAGGTAGCGCAGGTGCTGTGCCGAAGCGTGCACGTCACGCTTACCTTGCTTTAGCCTCAAGAGTGCAGAGCGTGCTCTGAACTCGGCTCTCGGCGACTCAAACGTCTCTCTAAGCCGAGACTTCAGGATCTCCAACGACTCAAACACGTTTGGGTCATGAATATTGAGCCCTAAGGCTCAAGTCTTTGCTCGTCCCGTCAAATTCAACAGGGCGAAGGTGGCTTATATCTCGTCACCCTCGATGTGACGGGCCCTGATGGCGTCGTCTAACTCGACGAACCATTTCAAAGGGAATCTCCATCGGTTCCCTTGTACTTTAATATTTCAATCTTCAAGGGTTCGGGTCGACACGTGTGCGTCGGCCCGCCCATCGACTGATGAGAGCCTTGCTGTTGTAGCAAGGCTATCTTCTGTCTTTCGACGGCAAGCTCCTCTTGTAGGAACTTGTTGGTAGCAGCATGTTGCTGGTCTCTGCTTAGAGACTCCAACATACACTGATGGCGGGTTCGCCCATGAGCACACTCATGCGGCCGACTGCCTCCCATTCTGTGTCATTTAAATGGGAGTAGCTTCACGTGTAACGTGTAAGCTGTCGTCTTCTAGGTCCAACATGTTCATGTTGGACGGACACTAAGTAGTCGTTGGACGGACTACGAAGTGCTACCAGGTGTAACGGGGCACCCTTTATCCGGGTGCCACGAAACGCACGTACACTAGTACGTGCAGAGGAAGCTAATCTACTTGAACGACTCGGTCAAGTAAAGGTAAAAAGAGAACTTAATTTAAAATAGTTAAGCTATCAATAAAATTTTAATCTTTATCTAACTATATTAAATTACGCCGTTGTATGACGACAACCTGCTCACCACTCATTGCGCGCGTCTAGCAGCGATTGGTGGTAATCTACATTTGATATGTCTTTTATCAACCAATCTTGGAGCAGCACATAAATTTTATCCAAAAGGGGATAACGTGTCCCTTCAATAGTATCCATCTCGGATAATATTGGTAGGAATTTGTCATGCTAGACAATTATCCTATTGACACCGTTTGTTGTCAATATTATGTATCGGGCTACCCTGTTACATGTTCCATGAACCACGCCTCCGCGCAGCGCGAGTTAACTTTGTGATTAATTCGGAATTATCTGTGTAATTAAGTCCACTTGAATCTGCGTGCTCGTTTGCAGAAGTCTCGATCCAGTGATTGACGTTGTTGTCGAGGTGTGCTGCTAGCTACTTAGTGAACGAATGTAATTCGTACTTGGACAAAGCTGAATGTGTCAATTGCTACGTTTGCTGCAAAGTCAGCCATCTTGTTGTAGTCACGATAGTGATAACCCCCAGCTAATCAGAGCTACATCATCGGCCAGATCTATCGCCACGTCGTACAATTGCGCCAATTGGGGTTTACGCGGTGAGCTAGAGGTCCTGAGTTGCGAGAGCCCCAAAGCACTGTCCCTACAACAGGTCTTACCTGATGAATGGGAAGCCTTGTGCTGACTAAACACAAGGCTGTGTGCTTCCGACGTCACTTACACGTGGCGAGAGGAAGCGCAGCAAAGTAAACGGAACCAGGAGCTTTGTTCAGAGAAAAAGTAGAACTGTATTTACTGATATGGTTAAGCTTCTTCGTAGACCATCCTTGTCCTGATCTCACTATATTAAACTGCAATCTTCAATGTGAATTTCTTGCTCACCACCCATTGCGCGCGTCCAGCAGCGATGGATAAATAGTTTGGTTGATGTAGGTATCCATCAACCAAAAGTGGAGCATCCCAGACTATTACCTTTGGGGGAGAACATTCCGCCAACACCACCTCTTCGCGAGTGATGTTAACTAAATATTGTCTAAGACAGATAACTCATAGAACATGATCCATTCGTATCGATTGATGTAGTGGGCTCACCCTGTATCATTACCCCTCTCCCTTCTCAACCATCTGTCACCAGACTTAGTGATATTGTTGATTCTTGACAGAGTGACCACCGTCTTATCGCTCTGGGATCGGGAGCACTTGCTAATCTTTCCTTCTCATTCCAACCTTTAGCGCAAGACGGGTTTGTTCATGCGTTAAGCGAGGAATGTCACACCTATTGCGGCTGCACTGATGCGTGCAGCCAGCGAAAATGCTAATTAAGACTTGGTAGCGGGCGTTCCATAGCCTGCTGCTGCCGATAAGAAGTCTGCAACACCCAATGTTACAGGTGCATGTGGTCATCCACTCGCTGTTTCTTCATCCGCAGCTTCAGCTGCGAGTAATAGTCCCATGGACGCCGACCTCGATTAGAGGTTCGCTATTCAGGCAATTCGAAATCCCGGCTGACTGGAAGTCGCCCGCAAAGCCCGACCTTAAAGCTGTGGTTGTGGAAACGACGACTGCTGTACCTCGTGGCATTCTCAATATGGCTTTACGCCGTGAAATGTTCGGCTCATCCGGCTAGTCTGAGTACCCGTTGCGTGGATCGAACTGATCGCGCATGCTTTCGTTTGTTGCGAGTGAGAATCATGACGTTAGTCGTCATGATCGTAGCGATGACTCTTCATGAAATCATCGCAGCCGCAGCAATACCAGTTACTGTGGCGATCATAGTGCTTGTAACATACCGTCAGTAGGCAAAGAGAGAATGATCGTAACGTTTACAAATTGCTCCAAAAAACGGATCATGAATGCCGTCCTAACGCATTCTTAGAGAACGGTATAATTATACCACTGGGAATTACCGGATTCCACTTTTTTATCGTTTGGACTCCATGGTCCTAATTTCAGTGCGAAAGACTATCGCACTAAGGATGGGCATTACATCGATGCATTTCTTAGACAATGATGGTACCACTGTAACCGCAACCTAGAAGAAGTTTCGTTAATGCAAGTGAGTAACTCTCATATTGTCAGCATCAAAAATGTTGGTTACGAGGTTTGGCTGGAAAAAAAATCGCAGCTTGAGTAGATTTAAACAAATGTCCACAACTGGTGCTCAGTTTTAGTTGCACCGATTCTCGTAAGAGGCAGGTTTACCATGCCTTTCGTGGGGATTACACTGTGAGAGTTGTGTTGAGAACTCTTTTCGCGCCCCTAGGGAGGCCTTCATCTCTCATAAGCTCTACTGGAGGGCGCGCATCTCGCAGAAGATGTTTAAAAGATTAATACGCTACAAGTTATTTAAGAACGCGCCGGGCGCTCGTCCGACGATAGCCTTGTGTCATCAAAGTGTGCGTCTCGCCGTAATGTCCGACGAGAACGGGCACTTGCATCATCAGCTGATATCCCCGCTCCCAGCTGTTCCACGAGGATGGATACCCCCGCCACTGGAAGAGGTAACTCGTCCTTCATCCTGAATCGTCACGGTTAATCAAGATATGCCCTTCAAGTAAGCTTCTATTACCGTGTGAGTGTACCAAAGGAGGTGAAGGAGGAGGATAAACCTCCCTTAAGTTGTTCGACTCTACATCTCGACCCAAACGAGATGAATCGCGCAGTCGTTAAATTGCGCGAGGATTTACAGCACGAGAGGGACTAAGGAAACGCGCTGACTGATACTGTGCTGAAGCACCTCAAAGATCGTGGGGTTGATTGCGTAAATGATCGTGCTGACTACGCCATCGCATAGTTCCAGGTCGAGAGTGATGTCCATTACCTTGTTGACAAGATGGCGAAAGCTCGCAACGAGACCGCTCAGTTAAATGGAGAGGTATCTTTACTACGTGACAAGATAGATCGCCTGGAGAGCAAGCGCAAGAATCTGGTTGAAATTATTGAACGTTAGGGAATATCTTCATCGTCGAGTAAGGTCTTGTACTGACAGTACGGTCGTAGACGCCCCACGTAAATCGTAGGATGCGTACGCATCCTACGCGACAACTCGATCTTTTATGCGTTGTTCTGGAGGTGCATCACAGGAGAGAAGACGATGTACTTGGGCAGTATTTTTTTCCTAACTACGTTAGTTACTACGTGTCTAGGTAAAATTATCGTAGATGCTAGGACTGAATAGCCTACAAAACATTAAAGGACGTTTACTCTTCTATTCTTTTCAGCGTTACGTACTGCCAGTCCACCGAGTAAGCGATGTAGTCCTGTACAAAACGGACCACTGCTTTTCTAGCCAGCAGAAGCGTTTTTGCTGAAGAGACATTGTTCTCTTCATTTTCCCTAGTGCAAAATGCACAAATGGTTCTTTTTATCTTTCTGTTCGTCAAGTATGGTGTCATCGTGTGTCATCATCCTCGCTGAAAAAGTCTTTGGCGAGGCTGAAAGTACCAGCAACGTCATCATCATCTGACACAATAATAACTTTGTTAAAATCATTGAAATGATCTTCTTCTTCAATGTCGATCTGGTCGACATCGGCATCATACGTGACGTATTAAGCATCGATACGTGGTGAGCAAGAACAAGAACGATTTTTGCTCGAGCAACTCCCTCTCCCTCTTATCCAAGAGTCATACTCAAAGAGGGTGGGTAGAAGCTGATGACGTAGGCCATTCACGAAGAACGGTGTGTGCTGGGTTAATCCATGCATCAAAAATTTATGGAAAAGTTCCACTATGGGGAGGAAATTGCTCCAACTCGAGAACGGGTGGGAATGCCTTGACGCATCTATTCTAGGGCACGGATTGCACGTGCTTACTGACCACTTGTTTTGTAATGATCAGATGTTAACCTTTAAAATCGCGTTTTCAGCGATCGGAACATGAATTGCCCAAATTTCGCCGTGAACCGAGGGTCACGGTCAGACAAGAATCCACGGGACAACCCGTGGAATTCAGAGATCGCGTTAATCAAGACACGAGCACATCCCTGTGCCATGAATCGAATTGAGTGCAGCAAAAAATTTGGTCCATCTTGCTAAAGCGGTCCGCAAACACAAGAACATCATTTTTCTTGTGGGCGTCTTCGGGAAAACCGAAGACGAAGTTTTGAAAATCGGACTTCCACCGCTCTGACGGGATAGGCAGAGTATATGAGGGTGCAATAGATAAAGCACTAGAATTCTTCCGTTGACATCGTCTTGCAAGCACGAATATACTCGCACACAGGATAATACTGTTGGGCTAGTAAAAGTTACGACTTACCGTGAGGTTAGTCTTTTCCCTACCACGATGGTCAACTGATGGGGCATCGTTACACTTGTACATGATGCGTAAGCACAAACTGTTATTAGTGGGAACGTCGACACGAATCGCTTTGCCTGCAAAGGCTGTAGATAGTACAGCAATTGGTTGCGTTTAGTGTACCAATATGATGAGTAATGGTACAAAGCTAGTAAATCTTTCATCAGATTACGAGTTGAATTCACCCGATATTTCACCAAGTGCGAAAAATCCTTATCTTCCGCGTAGCCCTCACTTGTATTTTCAAGCAGCTTTGACGACGGAACATTGACTGTAAGTGTCGCAGCAGTATGCGTCTCCTAACTTTGAATTGCGCGATTGGCTCGAAATCGAATTTCTGCAAGAGCGCATCAGCGACGACATACATTCATCCTAGATCATACTTAACCGAGAAGTCGTACTTCTTGAAGAAAGACATCCACCTCGCCATTCTTTGCGAGAGGTGTGGACTGTTTACGTGTAACGGGGTGAATCGTTACATAACAATTTATAAGAAATTGTTAATAGAATATAACTATAAGAGTTATATTCTCAGAATATTGTCATACGGACAAATATTCTGTAGCACTTACGAGTAGTTCCTAATTGGTTGATTTAGGCCATTATATCAACCAACGAAGACGCGCCACGACAGACGCACGCAATGAGTGGTGAGCAGATAGTTGCTATGCACATTTGTATTCAGACATAGTTAGATGAGGATAGATAGTGATTTATTGCAGACATTAACTATTATAAATACAGTTCTACTTTTTACTTAAACTAAGTACTCGCTTCTTCTTACCGTCTTCCTCTGCACGTACGAGTGTACGCGAAGTTCCGAGGCACCGCCTTATTCTGTCGTCAAAACAAGTAGCTTGTACTGTCATCGGTACAAGCTTCAGGGTGCCCCGTTACATTACGGCCGTGCGTAGTGACGCATGGTTTGTATCGACAAAGAATGGTCTATTTTATGAGAGCTAGACTTGTAACCAAGCCTTTTATTATTTCATGAATAGGCTTTCCTTGTACTGCACTGGATAATCACGCTCAGCTGCTTGCAGCTGACGCGATTGATAGCGTATGACGCGCTCTGTGCCATCTGTATCATATTGCATCAACGCACAGCCGATCGCAAAATTCTGACGTTACAACCCACGTATAAGGGTCTGTCCTGATCTGCAATGGCCAGTATGGGAGATTGCATTAAAATCTGCTTGATAACTTTCAAGAAAAGCTGGCAATGATCGTTCCATGACCGCTTCTCGCTCAATTAAACGATGAGAGAGGCATACGGTCATCTCGGCGTATTTTAACGAGTACTTGTGCAAGTACGCCGCTATCCCAGAAAAAGTTCATTTTTGTCTCTTGATGTTAAATGGGACAGGCCAGTCGGTGGTCGCCTTGATTTTTTCGGCATAAGGGCGTTCGCCATGTGTCCTCACGATGCACTTAAGCAGTGGTATTTTGCTAGCTAATTTTAACACTTTTGAGGTTGGCACACATCTTATGCTTCCAAACTATTTGAAGAACCTGAATAACGTGTGGTCTGTGAGCCTCTACGTCCTTCTTCCCATCCATAGCCCGGATATGGAAAACACTTCGTCAAAGTATCTTAGTGCGAAAGCTCGCACCGGTCGTAAAACACTTGTCCATTATCTAATGAACTTTGCAGGGGTGTTACTTAGCCCCTGTAGCATCATTAGCCACTAATACTGCATACCGCTAAGTGCGATCACGCTGTGGAAAGGATTTCCTAAAAACGCACGATCTGATAGAATCCATCCATCGGATCCATGGACAAGAAAATGGTACTTTTTGACATTGTATCTATGATTAGGTCCTTCCTCAGTATCCTCGTCTGCGCTGATACCGTTGCAGATTTCACCTTGTCCAATGCGTGCACTATTAGCCATTCTTATGTGGCCTTATTTACACAAAAGGCCGGAGAGCTATAAAAGGAAGTTGATTCCCCTATATGGCACGCTGCAAAGTGATCCGCAAGGTAATTGTCGATCGCTTTACTTGTTCATGAGGCAGTGGCCACTGCTACATAACACAGCACTTCGAGCCCGATTTGAGCTCTATTCACGCCTATTGCCTTTGTTCTTAGGCAATTAGAATGGTACGGATTCAAGAAACACATCCCTGAATTCGATCAAATCCTTGTATAAAGGATTTGCCCGAAGCGACCTCCAAGATTGAGACGTGTATCGTTCAATCCGAGTCTTCTCATCGAGGATAATTTCCTCCATCGATGAGCTGCTGAAAACTCGTTTCTTCTCGACAATTTCCACTGCCGACCGAATATCGGTCACATCAGCATCTTCTGTGACGAGTATGCAGATCTGCTTGACCTTGCCACTACGCAGATCTTGCAGGAACCATTTCGGGTCTATTGTTCCAACTAACTAATTCCTAAATTCAATTTCGAAGTCACAATCAGATCAAGCGTATAAGGGCCTACACTTGATATGTGACTGACCAAGTAGTTCAATGTTTTTGTTTCTCCCTGGTAACTTGTCTTCCCGGGATGATGAGAGCTATTATCTCAGCATGTATTTCTTGATAATTACTTCCTTAAGTACGCGGATTATCATTTCTCGACGTCTTCTAAATGTGGCTGTTCAACCAGACTCCTGCACCGATTCTTTATAGTCATCTCTCCAGTTCACCTAGGATGACTGTGTTGCCTTTTTATGACAACTGATTCATTTTTCCTAGGAAAATTTTACTTTAGGCATGCATCAATGTTCCGGTCCACTTGACTTATTTGAGTGACAGACCTTTGGTGTTGCCTGTACTTCTGTAAATCTGCCGGGAGATTGCTCCAAAGTAGAGGAATCAGCTACACTGAGGTCTTGTGCAGTCATACTAACGACCGTACCGCAAGTGAGGCCATCGCATTCACTCGCAGTACATTCACACATTTGTGAATGCTTCATGGTTTTAATCGGGTGTCCATCTGATCAACAAGTGACAGGCATCTTCACGAATTGATGCTACTAGCCCACTGTAGCTCGTACCTTCTGAGCCAAGGTAATTCTAGAAAGATGTCAGATTTGTCATCTAGATTTAGTACGATGACAATTTCATCGTAATCTTCGCCCTCTAATACTACACGTTTATTAATGGTCATTGCAGCGCTTGTGGCAAGGCACACCGGCCTTCCCGTAAGAGGGATGTCGTGCTTAATAAACTTGAGCCTACGATCATCTAACGACTAGGAAAGACCAAATT